CTGATTTCATTTTTCCCAGATCCTCTTTTGTTGCCAGTTCAGAGAGTCCAGGTGGTCGAGTATCAGATTTTTCCATCTCATTTCCCTTTGAGGTTGCTGTAGGTGATCCAGAAGTCTGTTTCTGAAGTTTGTTTACATGTCTTCTCATTTCCACGAGGTGGGGGCTCACCTTCTCTGCCCTAGGAGCCTGGGATGACTACAGGGGAGCTTCCTTCTGGGTGCTGGACCGGCTGAGCTTCTCTGCCCTAGGACCGTGGGATGGCTGCGGGAGAGCTTCCTTCTGCTATATTTTTCCTTTAGAATCACTCTAATATTGATGTATTCAAATACAAGATCTTGCTCAACTTAGTTCTTTATTGTAAAATGACTTACACAGGGCTTTCATTAGTTCTGGGAACTTGGCAACCCTTGATAAGATTCACTGTAAACTGTATCAGTCTCTGTTTCATATCTGACCTTACCAAGGAAACTCCAACTCCAAACAACATGAGTAGGAGTATCCTTAATACCGAAGTGTCACTAAATAAAAGTATAACCTAAGAAAGAATCTAGAAAATGAGGGCAGAGTACAATAATACTTCACTGTTCATTCATCCATGAATGACTGGCCTCAGAGATCAGCTCTTTCATGGATGAGGGTAAATCATCTCTCTCAATGTCAGTCACCTAATTCCCATTGTTCTAAATCCGCAAGCACCAAACCACCTTTTGTGACTAATTTAGTTTCCTAGGCATCTTGATAAGATGAGAAGGCTCTGATATTTCAAACACTGAAAATATAGGTTCTCCCAACAAGATAATGCATGGACATTCTTGTTGTCACACCCTCCTCTTATATGTTTGGTTCACATAAACTAGTCCTCAGGAGCATATTCAACTTTGGGTGCACTAACCAAATCAATTTCATGTCTCTATAGACCTGTGTCTGGGCCATAGAGAACAGAGCTGTCCTTGGAGGTCCTGAGCAGATAGCCAAACACCTTCTTTTACTTCTTGATCACTCCTTTTTAATGTCATTTAACTACATTTGTATATACTGTCACAATTTACAAAATATTTTCACATTATGTGGTTTATCTTCTTGATATCTAGAGGTAAATATTCTCCCGTCAATTTCACTAAGAGACAACTGAGACTCAGGATGGTCAAGTGATTTTTCCAAAGACTTACGTGTCCTATAAATTGTGAGTTATCTTCTTTGTCTGCCCTTTAAATATCACAGTGGGTTAAACTCCCATTTTTCTAACCAAAATTCTTTATTCTTTCTACTCCTTTTCAAATTCTCACATCATTCCAGACAGAAACAAATCTGGTGAAGATGTTTCTTTTAGCTGAACCCATGGCTGAAATCAAACCAAAAGTGTCATCAGGGAAACTTTCAGAAAGGAGTACCTAAAATGATGCCAAGATGGGAGCAGTTTGGATTCCAAAGAAAACAGCACTAAACACTAGAGTAATCTGTCTAAATTATATAAAGGAGGACCAGCAGCATTCTTACAATGTACAACAAGACAACCATCCATCTAGAATATCAGCAGTGAGCAGGACAAGTTATGGAGTTTTACATAAGGGCTTAAAGAATTTGATTTGGGGCAGAAGCTAGTTTCTACATGTCTAGGATTAACTTCTCTGTTTTCAAGCAACAACATAAACAAGTTTATCAGCTCTGGGGAATGTTCAAGGCACCAACTGAGCACAAGTGTGCAGGGGAAAACATGCAGCTGGCTGTATCACAGAGCAGTCAAGGTACTCTGAGTTTCTCAGTCAGGACACAAAGAAAGCAGTGGAATGGTGAACCCTACAGAACAAATGACTAGGAAGGAAGGATAGACCTCATCCTACACCTCCTATTCCTCTTAGCCCTGGCTGAACATGAAACTAGGAAAACTTTTTCTAATTAGAAACTAAGAAAAATGATCCTCAGAGAAGATGACTGACTTTTTTCATTGGCTAGAACTGCTGGGAAGCTGATGTTTACCCCTTCTTTGGAGAACATCTCTGAGCTATCTGGAGTCCAGCAACCAATGTAGCAATAACCAACTCATCTTCATCACTACCACCTTTGTCATTAGAATTGGCACTTACTGAGTGTGTACTATATTCTCAGCCACACTCATTCATCTTATTCAATCCTCTCAGTAATTCCCATTGGGATGACTTTATTATCCTTGTTTTAGAGATACTGAAACTCAGATACAGAGAGGGCTGTAACTTGCCCATTTTCACATAACTAGTAGGTGATGGTGGCAAGATGCAAATGCAAATAAATCTGAATTCAAATGCCCATCCTTTGGGTCACTGTGCTATTCCCTGTACTACTTCATAAGTTCAGCCTGTGTGTCAACAAGGCTACTTCTTATATTAAGTAGCACTTTAGGTGGTAGCCAGGGAAACTGTCATATCCAACTCTCTGTTACCACTCTGGGTTCTTGAACTCCCCGGGAAAAGTATGTATTTCTGCTGCAGCAGCTTCAGACCCTGCATTTTCAAGCCCCCTCTAATCACTGGCTGTTCCACATGGACGATTGCTTTTCCACGCAATACTTTCCCTTCTTCACAATGCCTAACTCCTCCCTCCCAACCTGTTTTTTCACTCCCCTTTTCAAGAATACCTTCTCAGATAAATAAAACCTGCCACCCCAGTCTCTCCATTTCTGCAGGGCCGTCCCATCCCTGAGAAAGAGCTTGAACCCTGGTTCCACCCTGGTTAAATGGTGCCCAATCAGCCTCCCCCTCAGCTCAGGCTTATGTGCCCCAACTCCCCCACATGCCATGTCATTCTAGCATCTTTATTCACTACCACAAAATACCCATCCAGAGAAAGTGCCATAAACAAGAGAGATTGAGACTGGCTGATACTTTCAAATGCAGTTTATTGGAGCAAAACAAGGAAATGGGGAGTTGAATGCCTCTCCGTGAGAGACAAACAACTTGCATAAACCTTATGTACAAAACCAAAACAGCACAGAGCTTGCTGCAAGAGACAAGATACTGAGGAGCTGGCCAGAGCATTGCTCTAAGCATGGCAGAGAAGCCCTGGGTCTAATGGTCCTCCTCTGGCTGGAAGAAGGAGGCTCTTTGAATTGTCACTTGTGTCATGGTAGTGCTGAACTGTTTCTCAGGCAAAGCACAAAGCAGGGCCATAGCCAGAGAATGAGATTGCCACTGGCCTGAAAACTTCTTTTGAGAGCAGAGCAGAAAAGAAAGAGCAAGGGTAATTGGATGAACTGGTGTGTCTAACCACAGCTCTTTTCTCTAATAAGGCTAAAGCCTTGATCTTGCCAACCCTATTTAGTGGTGATGGAAAGGGAGAGCTAATGGAATAGAGAGCGTATTTATCTGGAATAAGTGGTGGAAACAAATTTTATGCTAGAACTGCCACTAGAGGTCTTCTGGCCCCCAGAGCTGGATCCGCGGCCTCCAGAGGAGCCAAAGCTGCCTCCAGAGCTCCCCCGACCGCCAGAGCTGCCACCACCCCCTCCAGAGCCACCCCTGCGTCCCCCACTGCTGCCTCCGGTGCTGTAGCTACCACCTCCACCTCCAGAACCGTAGCTGACACCTCCGGAGCTGTAGCCACCGCTGCCGCCACCACCTCCAGAGCTATAACTGCCGCCTCCAGAGCTGTACCCTCCGCCGCCTCGGACACTGCCTCCACTGATGCTAGTGTGGCTGGTGCTCACAGCTGCAAAGAGAGACTCGGTCATCTTCAATCCCACCCTTTCCACCCCATCAAAATCCGGCCACGCCCCTGAGAAATCAACTTGTACTTACACACGCTCACGTTGGGGGAACACTCTCCAGACATCCTGTAGGATTTATTTAAAAAAATACCTCAGAATACTGCTGCTTCACGCCCCTTCCTCACACCGTCTCGGCTGCCCCCAAGACTCTCCCCAGCTGAGGAGCCCCCAGTTTACTCGGTCTGACATCTGCTCCAGGCCCTCTGGCCTCCCAAACCTCTCATCTTTCTCAGTATGAGTACAAAATTGTAGAAATCGCTCATAAAGGCTACCTCTAAAGGCTTGGACCTTATGTCAGATGACATCTGAGCCAAGCCAAATGAAAGATGCATTGCTGCATCTCAAATAGAAATGTTCCAGTGGGAGAAAGGAAAGGGGAGGGCAGAAAGGGGGCCGGGGAGAAGGAAGGGAAGAGAGAAGAGACAAAAAAGAAAAAGAAAGAAAAGAAAAGTTGAAAGTTAAGTTTGGGACTCTGGCCCCAGAGTGAATCCAAGTCCTTGCTCCTCCCTGCGTACTTTTCATTTCCCCAAACCCAGGAGAAGCAGCAGTCTGATGGCTGTGTCTTCAGTAATAGCCAGCTTGCAAGGAAGGAAGCCCTAAGAAGCAATCTAGCTGCCTCGCTCACCTGCTTTCCTCTCCTTCTAGGAGGGTCCTGTAGGTGGCGATCTCCATGTCCAGGGCCAGCTTGGTGTTCATGAGCTCCTGGTAGTCACGCAGCAGCCTGGCCAGGTCCTCCTTGGCCTGCTGCAGGGCATCCTCAAGCTCATTCAGCTTGTTCTGGGCATCTTTGAGTGCGTTCTCACCACGCTGCTCAGCATCACTAATGGACTGCTGCACCTGGGAGATCTGAGAAAGGAGAAAAGAGTATATCACACCTGTTCAGATTACCTAACCCTCACCTTGACCTTCCCATTGCAAATCACATCTCCCACCTGGTAGAGCCAATAGACTGAGTCCTGCAGGACCACTTCACCTCTGGATAGCACATCACCCTGCTGACTTCCTTCCACCACCTTAGCGGTGATGCAGCATCCTCTCCTGTCTCTGAATCAAGGTTCCTCTGCCCCTTACCTCCTTGCTGCCTTTTCTGCCTTCAACTCTGAAGTCTTACTTTGGTCATGGGCTAGATCATTCATACTGATCATTGCATCTTTCTCTATTATGTCATTTTCACAAATTTTTCTTAAGAAAATTCCATATAATAGCTAAATTCTGGAAATCAGCATAGTCACCAAAGAAATTGAGGGTAATATCTCACCTTGGTATGAAGTGTAAGACTTCAAACTAGAAAAGCCTCCCCATTGTCTGATGGTTACCCTATTCCATGCAGCTGAGCTCTAGACAGGGAAAGAAAGTACCTGCTTCTTGACACTATCAATTTCAGATCTAAGTCTCTGGATCATTCGATTCAGCTCAGCAATCTCCATCTTTGAGTTTTTCACACTGTCACCATGTTTGCCAGCAGTGATCTGCAGCTCTTCATACTAAAGATGGTAAGTCATGTGAGTTAGATGGGGGCAGACCCTGCATGCTCAGGCACAAAATATAAGAGATAGTACAGAATATCAAGGTGAGACATTCTAGGGGAACTAGTTAGGCAGTCAGGCATCGACCTTGGTCTGGTACAGGGCCTCAGCCTCAGCTTTGCTCCTCTGGGCAATGTCCTCATACTGGGCCTTGACTTCAGCAATGATGCTATCCAGGTCCAGGCTGCGGTTGTTGTCCATGGACAGGATGACATTGGTTTCGCTGATGTGAGTCTGCATCTGAGATAACTCCTATAGGATATAATAGGTCAATGATTCATAGTGCTAAAACAAAAAACTACATGAACAGAGAAAGAGCTCAGGGGGTGGGAGGTATATTCATATTCCTCTGGAGAGCAGTAGGTTTAGGCTCAAAGAGTCCAGTTAGGTGGCCTTGGTTGAAATTAGAGTACTCACTGCTTCATAGAGTGCTGTTAAGAATTCAATTTCATGCCTCGAGTTGTCAACTTTGACCTGAAGATCCACCTTGTTCATATAAGCAGAATCCACATCCTAGAGGAACAAAGGATAACATGAAGGCTATTCTTTCCAGGATGGATCCCTCTCTCTAGCTATGAAAGTGTTTTCTAAGTAGAAGTGGAGTTTGAGCTCTACTGCCCTCCTTTTGGCTCCAGATATATCACAATTCCTGGATTGCCCTCCCTTTTGGAATCACAATCCAGGGAACTTCCCTGTCTCACTGAGAACTTGTCTCCCTGCTTCCTACAGGAAATGCTGAGAAATATGGAGAAGCTGAGCAGCTAGATTAGGTCCATGGTAATGTGAGCGAACAACTCTGCTCCAGATATTCAGCAGTCCCACTACCTGGCTCTCCACATCATGGATTTCTGCTTATAATTGGAGACCCTCTTCTATTATTTATTTCAGAGCTAAATTCCAACCTACAGAATTCACTTACCTTCTTGATAGTCACAAATTCATTCTCTGCATTTGTGCGCTTGTTGATCTCTTCCTCATACCTGCAGGAAAGCAGAAATGATTAGAAGAGTGATTAGGGGAAGGGAGATCTGAAGCCCAGGATTCTAAACTAAAAGGAGCACTGCTGTCCTTGTCTTTCTATTACAAAATATGACATTTGGGCCACCTGCTTCTTCTGAATGATGAAAATCCCTAAACTATTTTTTACCTTCTGAAAAGATGAAGATTTCTGAAAATGTCAAATTTATTTGCCTCTAACCTAAGGATGACATAGCTACATACTACTACATATTCTTAGCTTATCCCTCTCTGGAAATCTTTTACAGCAAGAGTCAAGAACTACCCAGCCAGATTTCCTTACTTGTTCCGATAATCCTCCACCATATCTTGCATGTTCTTCAGTTCTGAGTCCATCCGAGATTGGTCGCTCTTCAGATGGTCCACTTTCCCTCTGAGGTCACTGATATAAGCCTCAAAGAAGGGCTCTAAACTGTGGGTTCTTGTGGAGGTGTCCACCTGCTGCAGCAGCTCCCATTTTGTTTGCAGCACCTGGTTCTGCTGCTCCAGGAATCGCACCTAAAAGCACAAGACCCATTACCCTGGTGCAGCAATGGGGTTCCATGGCCACCGAGCAAGGCCAGTGTCTCATTTGAAAAAGAACATCAATTTCTATTTACTACTCATGCCAAACAGAAAAATAGAAAGGTCAAGTTAGCATCCTCTTCAAAACAAAACCCAACTCATTCTTAATTCAGTGAAGCATTAAAAGGAAGTAGCTATGCAATACCAATAGCCAAGCATATATACAATTCTGTTTTGAAAATATATATGCTATTTAAGAGATTTACCTTCCAATTTTTTTTGGTAGCTAGCCAATAAGAATTACTTTTCATTGCCTGGGTATATATACAGTTAAAAATTACTTTGGAAAAAAATCCCAGATTGAACTTGAAATTTATAGTGGATAATTTTGGATTAACATTATTCATCACTAAGCAGAAAAGTGAAAAATGGTTTGAATGTTCTTCCAGAACTGATGCTTGGAATTATTAGTATAAAAAAATCTGCACCCTGACCTGGTACCAATGTAAAATTCTCAGAGGGCAGACCTCCCCCCCGACAGCAAAAGGTGCTTGGCACTGACTCACTCTATTGCTTTTGCTAACCAGCACAAGCCACTCTCGCATTCAGTTCCCTTTTTATGGCTCAGTTCTCATTTGCACACTTGAAATTTCTGTTAGCTTCATTTCTATTTTCTTCGTTCAGCCCAAGAGTGTCAACTCAGCTCAAGAACTAAATAAGGAACATTTAAAGGTAAACATCAAAACTGACCCATGCTTAAATCAATCACAAACCCTGCTGTCCAAGGAAGTTCAGATATTAGCATCATTTCAAAGCGTACTTCCAATATATCTCCTAGAAGCCCATTCCACAAAATATCTTTTTAGCTGTCCAAACACAGAAATGTAATGTTAAGCCCCAACATGTCTTTGCTGCTTGAATCTCAGAAGAAACAGGAACAGCTCTCCTAGAATACTGAGCAAATAAACTCACCTTGTCAATGAAGGAGGCAAACTGGTTGTTGAGTGTTTTGATCTGCTCCCTTTCTTGAGACTTTACTTTTTGGATCTCAGGGTCAATCTCCACATTGAGGGGTTGCAGAAGGCTCTGGTTGATGGTGACTTCCTGTATGCCACCAGGGGGGCAGACAGGCCCAAAACCGCCCCCATATCCAACACCCCCAAAACTACCTCCACCATAGCCACCACCACCAAAACTACCTCCAAAACTACCTCCACCATAGCCACCACCACCAAAACTACCTCCACCATAGCCACCACCACCAAAACTACCACCACCAAAACTACCACCACCAAAACCACTACGACCACCTCCTCTAGCCACACTAAAGGAGATGCTCTTGCAGCCACCGAGATTAACAAGACTCCTGCTTCCAAAACCACCACCACCTCCTCCACTCCCACAAAATCCTCCTGAAAATCTCCCACCACCTCCTCCACTGCGGCGCACAGAGCTGCTAGTGGATCTACGTTGGAAGCTGACCAGCCCTGCAGAGCCAGAGCTGAAGCCCCTTCCACCACTCCGGCACACAGACCTGGAACTACACTGCCGACTCATGTTGACTTAGAAAGAAGTAGGAGCAAAGGAGAGAGAGGGAAGAAGCCAAACACTCCTCTGTCCTGAGACCTGAGACTTTCCCTTATATACAGGGAAATTGGGCTTGGTCCTCCAGAGTCAGCGGAGATGCAGTGCCTCTAAAGGGTTTGGTTGCCTGCAGCCATACAAGATAATACATACACACCTAGCTCCCAGGATGGGCTCTTAAAATTGCTGTGCAGGCAAGATTGGCTAGTGTGGTAATCATTTTATCAAATGAGATCTCTATTCAAGCATTTGTGGCTTTGGAAAATAGGACCCCGCATCTGCTACCTGTTGTCTCTTAGAAAGATTTCATAATTGCTGTCATAAAGATATGCGAGTTTCTATTTTTGCCTTGTCCATATAAGCTACTAACCTTGCTAGGAGCAGCAGGTGCAGTGCTCTACATTTGCATCTCTGAAGGAGCTCTCTTGACCCAGCTCTAAGACCTGCCCCGCCCCCAGCCCCAAAGCTCACCAAGTTACATCTCCTGACAAAGGCTAGAGCTTTAACAACTAGAAAAATTAAATGTTTCTAATGCCAGCTTTTAGAAATGTACTGCATTGACTTGTTGAAGGAAAAGGAGCTGTCATCAAACAAAAAGGATGAGTAGATGATCTGGAAGAACCAGAAGGGAAAGACATGTTCTCTTCTAAGTTTTCCAGTTATTCCTTTTCTCCAAAGACAGATCAGGGTGGAAATTAGACAAGACACCAACAACAGAAATCAGGTACCAGTGAGTGGTATGCAAAAGCCAGTGGAAAAGCACGTGGAGCAATGAGATGAGTAGATATGTGATACATTTGGTAAAGTAAAGGAGTTTCCAGTTGTCTAAGCCTCACACTGGACAATAAAGAAAGATGAGGGTAGGTTTAAAGGGAGGACATTACTGGGAGTTTTGAAAACCTGATCTGATCATTTCTAGAGGTGATTATAATACTGAAGATGATGATGATGGTGGTGGCGGTGGTGGCAGTGGTGGTAGTGTAATATCAAAACCCAACTAGGCACTCTTCTACATATTTTATATGTATTGACTCAATTTTCACAAGTTTCATTTTTAAAATGAAAAAACTGATGCACAGGCTGTGAAAAGCCTGCCAAAGTCTACACAGATACAAAATGGCACCACTGGGATTTGAACTGAGGATAGTTATCTATATACAGTATGCAAGACCCTACCCCACATGTTGTAAACAGCATAGCAACTGAGTTCAGTCTCCCTGCCTGCTGTAGGTAAAGCCAGAAGCTGTTCTTCTGTGGAGGGTTCTGAGGACAGAAGGGCTGGCTAAGACAGGTACTTGCAAAATGTTTCTTAATTCACTCTGAAAAGAGATGCAGAGTTCAGGGAGATGCTGCTTCCATGTGAGAGGGCCCAGCATGCTTTGCAATGGGCCAGGAAACCCTAGGGCCTTCCTGGAGAGCATCATTTGATCAATATTAATGGAGAGTAGTGGCATTGAGATCTGGAAAGACCAGAATCCTACATACACTTTCATTTGAAGACTTCTTAAAAGCCTAGCATACTCCCCAAGCTTGCATATAAACACAGAATGAAAGAGGCAGTGGAGAGATGGCTACTCTAATTTTAGCTGGATGCAAGCAGCTCTGTGAGCAGCAAGTCATAGACTTGCATGGAAAGTGTCCACTCTGGAATGCAAGATCTGCAAGAGAAGGAAGTTCACGAAGACCATTTGTCCCCACTGTCCTGTGGCTCTGAGCCAAGACACTATGTTTTCCTCTGCACTCCTTCCTCACTACCAAGCTTCCTCCTCTCTTCCCACAGCATTTGCCATATACCTTCCTCCAAAAGTGACCCTCATCTCTTTATTACTCCCCTTCCCTCCTCCATCTCCATGGCACTGTTGTTTGGGACTCCATCCTAGCACTAACATCCTCAGGCTGCTAAACCAATCATCTCTTTTGGGAATGAGTAATCCAGGTCTTGGGAACAATGGGACTGGGATGATCTTGGCATAATAACTGTTGCTTAATCATCTTGTGACAGGCAATCAAAATTCCTTTAGTTCAGCATACTCCCTATGAGACATATCATTCTGTACAATCGATTCCTTCTAGCATTTTGGAAGGGTGTGCATATGTGTATGCATGCAGGTTGGTGTGCACATTTGTGCCAAGCAAAATCAGATCTTTGCAGTGATCTGTGCTTCCAAACTAAGAAACTGACAGAGAGAAAAAGAGGCAATAGTCAAGCAATTGACAGACAATTTACAGAGCTTCAAACATGTTCTAGGAGTTATCATGAGAAGGCAGAAAATCGGGAACTAGGAAGAACAAGAAGGCATGAAAATCACCACCAGCTTACATCTGCACAATTCACCTCCACCAAGCACGTACACAAACACCATTCCTACAAGAGCCCTAAGAATTAGGCCATAAAGCTACTTCCAAATGATTATACAAACTGAAGCTCAGAGAGATTTATTCTACCCTCAGCTAGGAAAAGACACATCTGGAATTAGACCCTTGGTTTTCCAGTAATCTTCCTCCTACACTGGAAAAGAGATGCAAAGACAAGTCATTGGGACTAGTTCCTATAAATGAGTGCAGAAAATCACAGAATATTCCCATCCATGAGTGCTCAAAGGCCATACCATCTAACTTGCTTAGCAGAAAAGAACATGAGCCCAAGGAAGTAAACAAAATTTGTCCAGCCCATATGATTGATTTCTGGGAATCCTCTAATTACTGAATCAAACTCCTTATCACTGCTCACTTTTGAGGCATCCCAGTAGGGTTGCAGTGGCAATGGTGTTGGCTAATCAACTTCATCATTTCCTTTGCTGTCCCTAAAACTGGTAGGTGCATGAGGATATTGAAAATCACATGTGGAGCAAAAGTGTGATCCACACACCCTCACTATTGCCTTATGTATATACTCTGCATTTACCACACAAAGACAGAATGAGAAAGCAAAGAGGTACTAACATCTGCAAGGTACCAACTACACATTAGGAGCTACATCTCACTTGAGCATCACCAAGAAAAGCTCAAGCTGGTAGTTACTAGGCCCATTCTAGAAAAAAAAGACAGCTTGGGCTCATAGAGATTAAAATGTATGCCTAAGGTCACTTATCTGGAAATTGACATACTAAGCTTGTCCAACTCCAGAACAATGTCCTCTCATCCTTGGGCTGCCTTCACTGCCTGCACCACCTACACCTTTCCATGTTCACCTTACCACCCAGCTTCATGACGTGACCCTTCTCCCCCGACCATGCTTTGCCTACATTGTTCAACCCTTCTGTTTTCCTCTCCGTGATCCCAGCTCACTTCTATTTTTCTCTTCCCTGTAAGACCTTCAGTTGCCCTGGCAACTCTCTTCAAACCCCTTTCCACTATCATGCTCTGGGACCCCAAAGATCTCAAGCCTTGAGCTTTTCATCCTGAGTCTGTTTTCAGTCCACCACCCCTTGAGTGTGAATGTATTTCTCCCTTCTGCTCCATGTGGCTGGGGCCAAGCCCAGCTCTCATCTCCTCCAGGGCGTTCTCCTTGGTTAACATCATGTAGCTGCTCTCTGGTTTTATTTTCCTAAGCTCAGTTGCTACCAGATCCAAGCGCACACGAGTGCATGCATTAGCCCATTTCCACATGTGTCTGTATGTGTGTTTGTTGGCCACCCACCCCCAATTAATCTGTAAGCCTTTTGGAAGCAAAACCGCATCTTCTGTATCTTTGGGTGTTCCTCCTAGACTCCCACACACCCCTCTGCACTTGAGGGGTACCCCAGGCAGAACTAGATGTACAGTCCCAAAACACCTGTGCAGGACTCACATCCCAGCAATGATGGCTGAGGTTGCCACAGGAAGGCTGCAGGGCATGGGCAGAGGCAGGTATCGTGATGTTTTGAGAGCTTTTTGAAGGAGGGGCCTGGAAAAGAATTGAAGAAAGACACGCAATGACAAGCCACCCAGCCCTGCAGGACTCCACCAGGGACGTGGGAGAGGGAATTTCAGGGGAGTGGGGAAAGTCGAAGCCTGGGAGGAGTACAGGGGAGTCCTAGACAATGGGGAGGCGGGGTGACATGTTGAAAGCAACAAGCTGACGAGGAGGGGCCGAGGCTTTTTATTCGGGAGGGAAAGTTACAAAGAGAGGGGCAGCCTTGACAAGGACAGACAGCAGGAGGGAAGCCCCAGAGCCATTCAGAGAAGTGAGAGAGCAGAGCAGAGGCCAGGCAAGAGAAAGCCAAAGATACACATGTAGGAGAGAGGCAGTGGACCTTGTCGTCCTCACTGCCATAGAGTCAGCCAGGCCTGTGGTCAGTCTTGGGTGCACCATTCTAGCTAATTTTCTCCTTTGTAGATGGGGACTATATGTGCCCTCCAAGGAGACTGCCGGGAGAAGGTACAGAGAAGAGGAAGGATTCTCTCCTACCTTGCATTTAGGACCCAGAAAATGATATAATAATCAGAAAAACCTTGGAAAAAACCCACTTCATGGAAACAGTGGAAAGCCTAGGAAAGAAAGTTTAAGTTCTTAAAATGAGATCATCTCGTGAGAGTAAGCCTTAGGGAGTCTATAAAGTGGTCACAGAGAAGCCAGGAACCCGTCACTTAGAAGTGGCACTAAGTGCACCTGATTCTGAAGAAAGTTGAGGCCAGATACTAGGAGCCTCACTCACTTTGAGGAGAGCCTGCTCTGCAGGGAGAACACCAGCCTCATGCTCAGCACACTGAGCCAGGGGTGAGAGCCCTTCCAGGCTTGGGATTGAGCTGTTCGGAGCTAACTGTTCATGCTGGAGAAATTCCCAACACACCAAGTTCCCAGCCTCACCCCGCAACAGAGTGTTGATCAACTTGAAGATGTTCCATTTTCTGGATTGATTGGAAAGCTGATAAAACCTGGGCAGCAGGTCCAGCAAAATCATGGGAGTTACATTGAGTTTGAAGAGGGACTGTTGGAGTTTCTTGCTCATTAATTTGAAGATGCCACCTAGGCCAAAGTGCTGAGCAATGAGGATGAGGCAACCTTCTCAAGACTTCCTTTTAGATCAAGGACTTTCCCAGCCCAGAAAAGAACATCTGGCCCAAGGGCAGATGGAGTTAGAATTTTATTTAGCCAGTCGTTGCTTCTCACATTCACCATGTCCTGCAATAAAAATCTCTGTGTCTGAGAAGCTGGTGGAATTAAATTTAGATTTCCAGAGCACCCTGTCCTGGCAACCCTCTCAGAGGGAGGAGCAGTTGGCAAACTTCCCCTGGGAACTCACACCCAAAGTGTCTGGTGAATGGATCAGGTAACTTTGCTCTCCCTCTGAGTATCTTCCTGGTAGGAAGCATTGATCAGGATGAGGATGGAGTGCTCCATGGGCCCTGGAAGGAACAGAGCACCCACGAGTGGCCTCCTCAACCCTCTCAAAGAGAGAGTGAGAACCAGATGAGAGAATGCATATGTGCCATTTTGTACATGGATTATAAAGTTGCTTGTTGTCTTCACTGGGGTGAGCTAAAGGTGAACAGCATTTGCTCCTGGTGGGATCTCTGTCTATCCATACCAGGAAACCTCCACCAGCATGTTATGGTGCTAATTCCCCATTGCTCAAGTCCCTAGAGAAACTTCCTCCTCCCTAGAACATCAAACACAGACTGCTCTTCTAGACACTGAACCCCTCCTTGCTTAACTCCTCTCCCCTTGGGCTTCTATTCCTCAGGCATCTGCCCTATGGTATTTCTGCTCCAGTAGCACTAGGATTTGGGCACCTGTTTCCTCCATCTGTCCCCTGGTCTTCCCTGATTGAGATGGTTAAGTCTTCTAAAGAGAAAATTCAGGACCATATTTTCTGGAACAATACTGATTCTTGCCCAGGAGAGGGACGAGAAAGATGACCTCTGGCTGGCATTGCTCTTGTGCTCTTTCCAAGAGCCAAACTGGATTACCTTAGAGCATCATGCACAGGTACATGAAACCAGGGTTAATTAATCCATACCCTGTAATAGGTCTGATGGTGCCAGAAACTTGGATTTGTTTTATAATTCAAGCTAGGCCTTCAGAGCTCTCCATGACTTTCTCCTTCCCTGCCATTTGATCTTATTCTTTCCGTAAAATACAGAGTGTAGAATTGAGTGGAATTTTTTTTTCTCAGGCTCTGCCACATGAGGTCTTAGGCAGCAAAAATGTAAAATGCCTCTGTACACATGTCCCCACCCATCCTTCCCTTTTTCTCTCAACCTTCTGCTAAACGGTTAGCCAACCACTGCTTGAAACTTGATAACTCCCCAAGTGCCCTCTCCTATCGCAGGATCATAGGAAGGTGCTTCCTTCATTGAGCCAAATCTGCTGTAGTCTCTACTTGTCTATCTGGGCCATCAGCTGAGACTGACCTCATTTTCCTACGGAAATTTCTTAGATCTTTGAAGTTATCTCTCACATTTCTCCCAAGACTTCTTTCCAGGCCCTCCAACCATTCTTCATGTGGCCAGACTTCTGCCTCCTCATCACTACTGTACTGGTCACTCTCCTCTGAGTAGACTCCTCTTACTACTCCCCCTGGCACTCAGAGCTCCCAGAGTGGCCTGAGGACAGAAGGGCCTGCACAAGCCCTTTTCCTGGCTCTCCTCTTCCTGGTTCCCACGGCCTTACCCAGCAGCCACCATACCCTGTGACTAGTGTGTTTTCACTGCCAACTGAACACTGTCAATCATTTTTATGAACACTGCTGTCTATTCAAGTCTTCCTGCCTAGTCCTTGTGCCCTTAGGTTTCATCTCTCTGCCCTCTCTCTTTGTCCTTTTGGGTACCCCTTCGAGTCACCTTTCCCTTGCCCAGGCTGCCTCCAACAGGCCTGGTACTAAGACAAGTGAGATGGGGAGAAACTTCTTGGAGAGAACTTTAGTTGTGTCTGAGAATTTAACATGTTATCAATATGGGCAGCAGTCATATTTGAATAAATCCCACATCCAAATTCCATCTGTATTGCTTCAGGAAATGAGAAAGCAAGTCACAACTTTTATGGGACTCCTTTACAGGGACTTGAAAACACCTCACAGGGGGCTGGGGATTTAGCTCAGTGGTTCCACTGCCTGCCTCGAAACCACAAGGTCCCAAGTTCGATCTGCAAAAAAACACCTCACGGGATAAGATGATGGCTTAACTCATTCCCTTTTTAAATTTCGGGATCTTCACCTCCCTCAAGGCATAAACACCTTCACTCTCATTCAATTAATGGGCCTCATCCGCGGGCCTCATCCGCTTGCCTCCCAGCTGCTTCTCCTGTCTAGCGTCTCCTTTTCATTCACACACATTCACTGTCTCTCATCTTCGAGTCTTTGAGAAGACCAGTCACACAACAACCAGTGCCTGTCCCCACTTTCTTCTCCAGGCCTGATCCTCTTTCCAGCCCTCCAGAAGCCTGTTGAGACCAAACTTCCCTCCCCCAGCACTGGCACCTGCTGTAGGTCCCACTACTCCTGTCCCGGTAGATCTGGCTGTGTCCTCCGGCTAGGTGGTGCACAGAGGCACACACTCTGATTTCTCCTCCCTCTGAACCTTCCTCTCCCTCACACTACATCATTTGAGTTGTGAGCCCCTTAAGATTCAGAAACATGTTCATGCATTCCCAGTGCCTATGCCACAACCTGCCACATGATAGGAGCTTAATAAATGTCACTGAACAACGTGCAATTGACTTTTGAATGACAGGCCACTTTAAAGACTAGTAAAATTATATCTATAAGGATCTTCAAGATTGTGTGTTGCTTGTACAATAAAAATAATGAAAATAATAAACTACAACTTCCCAAATATGAATAATTTCAAAGACGTGAAGAAATTAAAGAATTAATTCATCTGGCCCGGTGGCATTTTGAGATCACAGAAAAATTTATTTTAAAGAGAACAGAAATGCCAAGCCCAGAGGGTACAACTTTTGACCAGGAAATGATGAAGTCATAAGCCCTCCCAAGGGGCCCATACAGGACCCATCAGATGCCCTGAAAGAATTATGAACTTGGTGATTGTGTCAGGACTCAGCAAGCACATCTAGTGGACTCCAGATCTGGGAAGCAAGCCACACTCCCTCTGTCAGGGCTGATACTGTCCCACTCCAGCACAGCTCAAGCATTTTATATATGACTCTAAATTAAGAGTCACATTCTCACAAAGTACGCAGAGCCACAGAGAACAGAGGGTAGAAGGAACTTACAAGGTCTTGGAAAGAACATCCAACTGCCTTACAAAAAAAAATGGGCAGATTCCAGACGGACTCAAGCCCAAACCCCAAGCCAGATGCTCACACTCCTCGGGCCCAGGGGCACTGGATGGAGAACAGCTGGGAAATTCTCAGCACAGCCTTAATGGAGCAGATTCTGGAAAGGGACAGGCTTCCAAAGAATAGAGCTGCCTGGAGGGGTAGGACAGAAGCAGAACTTGACCATCTGTCCATCACCCTCCACCCACTGCTAAGAACGAGTCTCCCTTTGGACAAGGATGCACCCTCCTTCCTCCTTTAGACAGGATGTGATCTTCTGGCTGCTGACATACTCCCACCTGGGACTGGGTATAACGCTTCTGGGGACAGGATAGGGACAAGTATGACCTACAGGTGTATAATGTAGGCAGCAAATCTACACCTGCCATCAACATGGAAGTGTAAGGCTACGGACCAAGAAGCAGGAAATGGCCCTGGTACAAAGGTTTACCTTACCAAGCTAGCTTCTTGGAAATCAGCCACTCGCCCAAAGGGATCATTCCCAGGTCCCTGAGGGTCGGACTGTTGTTCATGGAGAGGCCCGGGTGCGGGCAAAGGAGCTTGGAGTAAGACCCTCGGCGCAGGTGACATCGACTCTGGATTATCTGCCTCGAGGATGCTCCACAGGCTCTTTTCCTCCACCGCTTAACTGGGCCCTGAAGTGTCCCCAGGGACAGGAGTAGAGGCAGCGTAGGGTAGGCTGAGTGAGGTGTCTGACTGTGACATCACGAGCCAGTGCCCTCCAAAAAGAGCTGCTAATTGGGCTTAGCCACCCTGCTTCCCCGCCTAGAGCTGCATTTATTAACAAAACTGCTGAGAGCCATCAGGTAGAGCTAAGTGAGAGTCAGGGAGAGCGTGGCGGGGTTGGGGGCGGCGACCAGAGGAGTCCAGCGCCGTCTTGGGGGACGGGACTCCTGACACCGCCTCAGCTGGGCCTCTGCTCCACGACCCGCCTGCGGGAGGAGCTGGTGGAGGTCTGGATGATCTGCGTGCGCGAGGAGCCGCCGCCGCCGCCGCTCCTGCCGCCGCCGCCGTACTTGCTGCTGCTCCTGCTGCTGGCTCTGTAGCTCCCTCCGCTGCCGCTCGCGGAGCCACCGCCGCCGCCGCCGCCGCCACCGTAGCCGCCGCCGCCGTAGCCGCCGCCGCTGTAGCCGCCGCCTCCATGACGTCCGGAGCCTCCTCCAGCACCGCCGCTCAGGGTCACCTGGCTGCTCTGCACCGCTTTGAGGAAGAGGACAGCGCAGACGGTCAGAAGGACCCGGCAGGTGGGGAGAACCCAGCCTTACCCGCCCTGGTACCTGCAGCCTCCTACATCCTAGATCCTTGGTGGTACCAACTTGCAAACATACACTGGAAGTCAAAAAGTACCCCCACTTAAAAAGCACTCCCCCACCTTTGAGTAACACATTCTCATTGTTTGTTGAATATCTATCCTGAAGACTTCTAGCTGCTGCTGATTAAGTATCATCGAAATTAAGACAAGCAGACCTGAAATCATAACCACGATTTCAACCAATTCTTCCACTCTGCAGTGACGTTTTGGTGTTCTCTGTACAGGATTGGAAGCTAAAATGCCACATGCCAGTCCTTGCTGGCCACCTGGCAACCTCCTCAGCCCTGCCCTCCGCCCAGATCAGCCACTGCTGTCCCTGGACCCTGCTACTTACAGATGCTTACTTGGCTCTGCATCTCTCCCGACATCCTGCAAAACCAAAACACACACATCAGCCAGACTCATGTGGCCTGAAGACCTCGGCTGAAGACACCAGGAGCAGAGACGTCTGTGTGAAGAAACAGCTGTCCCCAAGCCTCAAGGACATGTGTGTGCATAGGGCAGAGGCCAGGGGCCATTGGGGCTAGCAGGAGTTTCAGCCTTGTCATGAAGCCTTTCCGCATGGGGGCTGCCACCTGGCTTCCATGCCTTGGGTTAGGCTATGGACACATGGCGCTTGAGGGCTGGGTAATGGTCACAGTGGCTTCTCTCCTACCAACTCGCACATCTTCCACTTCTAAAGTGAATGTCTCTGCCCACCCTAGGTTGCCAATCTTCCCAGAAAAATAGAGAATACTGTCTTCTCTCCACACAATCCCATTACTCCACGGTTGCATCCTCAGCTTTGGCCGGGAAACAGCTGCCACACCCACCTGCTCTCCTCACACTCCAGCAGCTTGCGGTAGGTGGCGATCTCCACATCCAGGGACAGCTTGGCCCCCAGCATTGCCTGGTAGTCACGCAGCAGCCGGGCCAGGTTCTCCTTGGACTGCTGCAGGGCCTCGTCCATGTCCTGCAGCTTCTGTTTTGCATACTCAAGGGCCCGCTGTCCTCTCTCCTCTGCATCCGAAATGGCAGAGTGCATCTGTTCGATCTACACCAGAGGGAGTTGGAGAAACACATAGGTAGGTGCTGAGTTTGGGGACCTGATCTGGCAGGGCATGGCAGGAAGCAGACAGCATGTCTGGTCAGCCACCCTGAGTATCCATCCCACCTGCTTCTTGACGTTGCCAATCTCTGCCTGCATCCTCTGGATGTTGCGGTTGAGCTCAGCAATCTCCATCTTGGTATTTTTCAGGTCGTTGCCATGTCTCCCTGCTGAGATCTGGAGTTCCTGGTACTAAGGGTCAAAGGCACATCATGGTCAGCACCCGCTGCCCACTGTGAATCCTCCAGGAAGGGATGGGTCTGGGCTGTTCTCCCCTGGGAAGTTCCAGAGTTAGCCCACCTACAGCTGTGGTCCCACACACGAACGTACGTACACCCATACCAAACCTCTCTCACCTGAGCTGCACACACACACACACACACACACCTCTATACCAAGTCTCCCTAATTCCCCACCACTCAGGCAGGCAAACCTGCTTCTTGATGTTCTTTTTGTCTTATTTATTTTTACACATAAACCTTCACACTGGTCCTTATCCACACTGGGACCTCTCACTTTTTCCACTCTACCATATTCCTTCCTACCATTTAGGAATCTGCTAATATGCCCTGTCCTGGGGGCAGGACCGCCTGTCCTCAGACGCCCTCAGCGTGCTCCTTGTTTGTGCACATTTCTCCCTCTCTCTCCCTCTCTCCCTCTCTCTCTCTCTCTCACACAACACATGGTGAAGGGAGAGTTGATTCAAGAGAATCAGCTTTCTGATGTTTTCACTATCTTCCTCCCCAGTCCAATAACAAAATCCATTCCATCTCAGAACATCTGTTTGCAGAACAGTGGGACAGACCAAGATCAACTAGGATTGGAGTTGGCCATAAGTAATTCACAGAGCATATCTATCACCCAGTGCCAGTTGTTCAGAATTTGGTGACTCAGCTGTCATGTTTATCCCTTCAACTATAGTCTTCATCATCCAAATGGGCCCAGGTCAATTTATAGTAAAAAAAAAAAAAAGAGTAACCAAAGATACACCCAAAGACTTAACCATGTATATGTTTATCTAATATGTGCAAATGTAGTCTCATAATGGAATATGTTGTACTAAAATGTTGTAGAATATTTAGCATCACAGTAAGGTATTCATAAGTGGTAAGTAAAACAGAAAAGTGAAAAATACAAAATTATATTTTAATGGATATTATTATGAAACAATTAAAAGCATTCTAGTTGTTAAGAGCAAAGGTTTGTAGACAGCACATCCAAGTTTAATTAGGTTCTGATACCACTTGCTTGCTACAAAGTATAGGGAATCTCACACTGTATTATTTATAAAATGGGGATAATGAAATCCTTACCTGTTAGGGTTGTTGTAAGTATTAAATGAAAAAATATAGTAAGCATGTGTGTGGTACCTGGCACCTATGAATTCTCCATAAATGTTAGCTACCAAGAACTGGTAGAACCACGGCTGATGAGATATGGGTAATCTTTACCCATAATTTCTAAAGTTTCTGTAACATGTTGTACTATAGAAATAAAAGGAAGCTGATACCAGTCCTTGGAAGTATCTGTTTATTTGGGGGTGCAAGTCTGGGGTCCCTGGCTCACCTTAGTCTGGTACAACAACTCAGCCTCATCCTTACTCCTCTGTACAATCAGCTCATACTCAGCCTGCACTGCTTCGATGATGCTGTCCAGGTCCAGGGTGCGGTTATTGTCCATGGATAGGATGACATTGGTGTCGCTGATATGGGTCTGCATCTGGGACAGCTCCTGCAATACATGGGGCCCAGTTGATTCCTTTCACTCCCCTCCTAGAGTCCTCAGTTTCCCTGGGGAAGCCAGAACCTTAGTCCAGGAGGGGTCTTGGGAGAGTCTTTAAACTGTGTAATAAGAAGGAATGGGAAAGTCCTAACTACCTCAGGTAAAGGGAATGGGGCCCAGGCTTAGCCTCCAGGGAGAAGGAAAGAGCCTCCCCATCATGTCTGTCCTGCCCCCTCCATCCTGGCCTTATTCCCACCTGGCTGCCATGAGCTGACCCCCACAGCAAGCATACTAGCTCCTTGAAACCACAAAAGTTCTGAAGCAACAGAAAGGACACCAGCTGAGGAGCCACTCACTTGACTAGCTTGGTGACCTAGCAAGTAATTGAATCTTACACTGTCTCAGCTTCCTCTTCTGTAGAATGGAGGTACTCATCATGTAAGTAGAACTCCTACCACAGCATAGAGCATGGACCCCATCAGACACAGGTGACAGGAGGATCAGGGCAAAGGAGCATACCATACCCCTGCAGTCTGCCTTCACTCCCTCTAAGATGCATATTGTCATCTCCTGCAGAGTTCTCTAATGACCCCGTCAGCTCCCCACCAGAGTGCATGTTCTGGAAGGTTTCTGGTTGGGTTTTCTGCTGTATGTCCCAGTGTTAACTTCATTTTCCAAACAGACTGGGTGCCGTGAAACAGAAACAACTTTATCTCCTCCTATCTTTGGATTCTCGCTGACCCCATCTCCACCACCCCACCCAGGAACTCTGAGAATTGAGGGTTGAGAGGATGGCTGACTCCAGACTCACAGAGCTGGGGGCCTGGGGACATGAGCTGGTAGTGGGGAGCGTCAGGTTCTAGACATCTTTCTTTCATCCATACCTCTTGTGAGAAAAGAAAGGGGTCCCTCGTAAGAGCTGAACTCACCATTTGAAATAAATACTTCAGGAAATTGACCTCCCCAAGCAATGTGTCTACTTTGGATTCCAGATCTGTTTTGCTCACATAAGCAGCATCCACATCCTGAAAAGCAAGCAAAGATGGTTTGAAATTGTCACCCAGGAATTTCCTGCCATATTAGCTTTCTGGAAGGCCTAGGAGCGTGTCAAAGCCTCTCTGGATTTATTTCCTGGCCTGAAAATGCCAACACTCAAATCAGAACCTTGCAAACCCTGACTATCCTGGCCAGAAGGAGGCATGACACAGACCTCCATACCTCTGCCAGCCACACACACACACATACACACACACACACAGACCCTGGGTGCCTCCCCAGTCCCGTGGACATACAGAACTGACACTCAAAGCTGTCAGCTACTTTAATGTCACTTTCAGAAGCCTGGAGAGTTGTGAACAGGATGATTCCTACAGAATCACAGCAACATCCATTTCAGATTTCCTTCCCCTTCAGTGCAAGAGCCCCATTTGGCAGCACCCATCAAGATGGCCCCAGAAACCATTCTGTCCATGTCACCAAACATCCCACAGGGGTGTCTCACTCCACCCAGTCTCTTGTGTCCACAGCCTCCCTTGGGACTTCCCTTTCCCTTACCTTCTTCAGAACCACAAACTCATTCTCAGAGCTGGTCCTCTTGTTGATTTCTTCCTCATACCTAGGGAAGGCGGGGAGCACAGACAGGCTTCGGGGCTGACCTTGGCTCCCTGAGGTGTCTGCTCACGGCAGAAAGCTCGGGCTTTCCCAAACTACTGCTGTCCTGGACTCAGAGAGCCCTGCTCACAGCACTCACTGCCCCCTGCCAGGGCCTGGCGCTCTCACTGCTGAGCTCTGGAGCCAGATCTCAGTTCCCAAGCTAACAGAGCAGATGAGGACCCAACTTAAAAAAAAAACAAAAAAACCCAGAGCCTCACAGCCCTCAAAATGTCAGTTTTTATTCTGATATTTTACCTATGTAAATATGTCAAACTCAATCATTTTTTTCTCCATGAAAAATATAAACTAACCACCACTTTTACTAAATTTTTAAGAAAAAAATTTGCACCTACAATTCTGCCACCCAGCACCTCCAGTGTGAGTTTGATTTTCCCCTTCTGACTCACACACCCTTGGCTCGCCCTGGCACAACACAACAAGCACATCAGGGAGGGAGAGAGAGGGAAAAGCCACTCTGCCACTTACACAATTGCTCAGGAATAGCTGGTCTTGAGTTTGACAACTCTTGCAACCTCTACCATTACTACTAATAATAGCTGGCACTTATTGAGTGCTTGGTGTGTGCGGGCACTGTACAAAGAATTTACTAAGCAAAATTTCACCTAAATCAGCCATGCTCAAAGTGTGGTCCCCAATCCACCAGCATCAGCACCACTTGGTGACATGTTAAAACTGCAAATGCTCTGGCCCCATCCCAGACCTACTGAAGCAGAAACTCTAGGCTGTGGAGCTCAATGATCTGATTTCAGCAAGTTGATGCACGCCAAAGTTTGAGAACCATAGACCTATCTGTTACAATAATCCAGCAAGGAAGTATCCCCACTTTAACATGAGAACCAAAGACATAACTCATTAACAGATAATAAGTGGCAGAGCCCATTTAGCCCTAACATCCACAAAAGCTCCCCTGCCCCTCCCCACTCAGTACAACTGACAGCTCCCATCCTACCAGGGCTGCCATTGTACAATGGTGCCCTCTGCGCTGTGCAGGGCACAGCCCACACACCTGCATCTAATGGCCCCAACCCCCCCTCTTACATATGAACACTGCAGCAGAATGTCTTGCCCCTTATGAATCAGCTTCCTGCTGTGCTGCTTCCCAATCCCTTTACCCTAGCAGGGGCCTCACTTGTTCTTGTAGTCCTCCACAACATCCTGCATGCTCCTGATCTCTGAGCTTTTGCGCATCTGCTCATTATTAAGAAAATCCACGTTCTTCCACAGCCCGCTGATGTAGCTCTCAAAGAGAGTTTCCAGGTTGCTGGTCCGTGTTGAGATGTCCACCTGCTGCAGCAGCTCCCATTTTGTTTGTAGCACCTTGTTCTGCTGCTCCAGGAACCGCACCTAAGAGCAAGGACCGCAGCCCATCCCCAGACGGTGGGTCAGAGCAACTCACCCACAAGAAAGGGGATCAGCAGCCCTGTTGTAGACCCAGACCCCAAAGAATCAGGATGAGCCCTCTAGGGATCAGAGAGCTTTTCCTTCCCTGGGACCAGGACAACAGAAAGCAATATGGTTTCCGATGGTGACCAATGGCTACAGGTCAACTAGCCTAAAGTTAACACTGAGCCCACACTGGTTTTGAGGACACATCGCCTCCAATGAGTGCTATGTTTCTTTCTGCCTCAAATATTTACATCATAGAATTGTCACCTCTGCACTCAATTTACCCACGCCAACTTAAGGAAATGGTGTTTCTGGACCTGGGAAACAATAAAAAGTCAAGGTTCCTTTCTCTTTATGGTTGATATGCATTAACTGAATGAATACAGGGAGGAAATAAGGAGAGAGAAGCCACAATTGGGCTTGGAATATTAAAACTGATTTCCAAGCAACTTCCCTAGGTGCACCCTATAGCCTAAGTGCTGGTATGTTTCAGGAAGGCAACCTATAATGTGTATATAGTGTGTATATAGTCCAGACAGGATTTTTTTTAATGGTCTCATTTTTTCAATTGTGTAATACGTTCAAGTGAACTTTTGGGTGGGTCAGCAGGTCTTTGGGAAACACTCAAGTTGCTGTTTCCTAAATAGCTCAGGAAATGGGGAGTGGGTACCCCCCCTGAATTTGCACTACCTCTTCCCCAAAAACTGTACACAAAGGTGAGATGAAGGGGCCTGAGAGGTAGCTGGCTATTCAGACCAAGTACATGGCCTTGGTACTTTACATCGTGACAACCAGCTTTTACCCTTCCTCTGCCAGTTGCTCACAAATGGAAAAATAGAGCCTCTTCTCCCCTGTGCTGAGAGATGATAGCTCTGCCTCTTTGCTCAGACCCTGGCATGTGTCTATACATACACTCATACATACACATACCACGTTCACATATACATTCACACTCCCTCACACATACACATCCCTCCAAAATCTAGCACCCTCCTCCAGGAGCTGTGCAAAGAAGCAAACCCACCCACTGCTTTATGCCATCAGAGCAGAACCCTGCAGGCATGCCTTATAGCGTGGCGCTAAGGAGGACACCCAGAACCCCAGCCCCTGTGCCTATCCATCCAAAGGTCAGCCCTTAGTAACTCCCTTTGGATCATGACTCTAAGCTGGACAATGTTCATGGAGAGCACTATTTCCCATGGCTAATTTTTGCTGGCTTTAGCAAGGCCAGAATTTGGGTAATCAGCAACCTCTCACAAGCTTGTCAACACAGCCTGTAATATTCCTGGGAGGAGCTCCTGCCGCTGTCTATTTTTACTGTGTGGCAGCACACCCAGAAAATTCAATTCACTACTCATTCAGAAGCCTGTGCTTAGTGGCAGTGGCATTGTGGGAACCAAAGGAAGAATGTTGTGGCAGTGTCTGTGTGGTGAAGGTCAGATAACATAGGGCCTTTTATAGGGCCCTGGCTTTTATTCCAAATGACACAAGAAAACAGTGGAAGATTTAAATGGGGGAGCTATGGGCTCTGTTGTACTGCTAAGAAAAGGTTGTACAGGGCTAAGGAGAAATACAGGAGACCAGGTCAGACACCAGGATCAGAATCCCTGTGACTGAAACCTCCTCTTTCCAGGACAGAGGCCACTTGGCTGATGAATCTCTCCTCTTGGCCACCACAGACCTTGCCCTCAGAGAAAGTCAGGAAGCTAAAGACTCTTGTACCTTGGCCTCTGCCCCATGCCATAAACCTGGACAGATGCTCTGTGAACGGCAGCAACCATAATCCAATAAGAGTCTCAGATCAGTACCAGAGCCTGTGGTCATCTCACTGGCCTCAACCACCTTTCTCGCTGCTCCCCCATGCCCCAATCTTGACCTCTTGGTAGTATCTCCTTCACCTTTACCTTTACCTTCACCTTCACTGTCTTTCTTGTTCCGGTCAAACCCTCTCAGTTTGTGCCTGTGCCTTAAGTGTGATATTGAGCCGAATTTCCAATCCAGGGTGACCAGCAGTAGCCAGAAACACTATGCTTTGCTGAACTCCTTTTTGGCTCCCTCTGAGCCTCAACACTCTCCTCTATACCCCTCCTCCTCTTGCTCACATACTCTGTCCTGTCCCCAGTATTTGCCCTGATACCAGGCAGTGGCCACTGTGCCTCCAACTCTGAGTGAAAGGCAGGCATAGAGGAAGGTCTTTACCATGGCTGTTCTGCCAGCCTCTACCTGGACATTTGGGCCTGAACCAAACCTAAGGTTTAGCCAGGGACTACAGAGAAGAGCTTCCACAGCTCCATTTTCCCCTTTCTTGGCCCTGGAAGAGCTAGAATGCTGCATTGAATGTCACTGACTTTAGCTACCAGCAATACCCTAGTCACCTAGGCCTTTCTGCCTGCCTCCAGAGCTTCATCTCTACTTCTTCCATCTTCCTTCTATTGTGCCATTTTCCCCAGGAATATTAACCATCTGAAATTCCCAAAAGATGTTACACTTTCATGTCTCCTGGTCCTTCTTCCAGGAAGTGCCCTCTTCCCTGCAAAGCTGTTTGACTTCTCTCCTACCTTCAAGACTCAGGTCAGACCCGGGACCTCAGAGAAGCTCTCCTAGAATCCAGCAGGAAGAGCTTATAGTGCCTTCCTTTGAATGTCTATGGTCCAGAGAGTTCTACCCTTATTAATGCACTTCTCATACACTTTTGCATTAATTCTCTTGCTTTTAGATGTGGGACTGACTCCTTGTTTCCTGTCATCCTTATAGTACCTGGCACATACTAGATGGCACATAATAAATGCTTAGTAAATATGTGTGAGCTTGAATAGGTAGATAGATGAGTAGGTAAATTTATAATTGTGTAGGTCAATGGATGGGTGGGTGGATGGATGTACTGGTAGAGGTAGGTTGTGTGTGTGTGTGTGTGTGTGTGTGTGTGCATACAGATGGATGTGTGCAATTGTGTGGGTAGAAAGATGGATGGATGTGTAGATGGGTGGGTAGATGGATAAATGCATAGTGTGGGTAGGTGGATGATGAATGGATTGTGTGGACAAGTGCATGGATGGATATGTGTGGATGGGTGGACAGATGGAGGGAGGAATGGATGATGGATATATGGATGGATGGATGGATGGATGGATGGACATGTGTTGATGGGAATATATGGATGGATAGGTGTGTGTGTGTGTGTGTGTGTGTGTGTGTGTGTGTGTGTGTGTGGAGAGAGAGAGAGAGGGAGGAAGGGAAGGATGTGGCATGTGGCTGAGTGGATGGATGGACAGGTGCATAGGTAGATGAAAAGTGAATACTGTTGAATGAGAATTAGCTTATACACTGTGTATCTGTTGAGTATTTTCACACCCTTTATCTGCTTTCCTGAAAAAAGATAAATATAAAAAGAAAATCCCACCAGATAGCTGAAAAACCTTCCTAAGTCTCAAAGCATACATATCTGGAAGTAACTGTCATCATCAAACTGAAATAGCACAATGGGGTGAGAAGTTTTGTGATCAAAGACTCTGCCTGGCCTTAAAGTACTCACCTTATCAATAAAGGAGGCAAATTTGTTGTTGAGAACCATAATCTGTTCCCTCTCCTGGCTCTTGATCCTCTGAATTTCAGGGTCCACCTCCAGGTGGAGTGGCTCTAGGAGGCTCTGGTTAATGGTCACCTCATGGATGCCCCCCGAAAATGAAGGACCAAAGCCCCCAGGCCCAAAATTGCTAGCCCCAAATCCTGCACCCCCTAAACCACCTCCTCCAAGGCCAGCACCTCCAAATCTCCCACCTGGAAAGCCACCCCCCCCAAAGCTTCTGCCCCCTCCAAATCCTCCTCCTGCTCCCCTACCCTGATGGAAACCACTGGCACTTCTCCCCACCAGGCCCATGGAGATGCTTTTACTGCCACCCAGGTTGAAGAGGCTCCTAGAGCCAAACCCTCTTCCGTGGCCCCCATATTCACCAGAATCACACCTCCCCTGGGCCTGACTCACAGACCCCGCCGCCCGACTCCTACCACCAGAGCCTGAGAAAGACCTGTTGCTATAGGCCCGCCTGCTCCTTGAGCTGAATGCAGATTGAGAACTAAATTGGCGGCTCATGGTTGCTGGAGCAACCAGAGGCGCAGACAGAGCAAGAGCACAGCTGGAAGAAGGCAGAGATCAAGGAGGGAAGGAGCTATAACTCCTGGGAGAGACCTGGTTCAGTCCCTATATATTCACATCAGCTGGGCTGGGCCCCTTCAGAACCCTGGGAGGGGAGTATTAGTGTTTAGTTGCCAGCCAGTGACACCTGTTTAAACCTTCACACCTATGTGTTGCAGAAATCACATCTCAGAAAACTTCCCTGACTTGATCATTTGTCACTTATCTCTTGCCACTGAGAGATCAGAGTGCAATAATCTCTCAGGATCTAGTTACGGTAATCTCCTGTACAGTTTCTCCCCCAAATTATTAGTTGATGTCTTCCTAAGAAACTCCACCATTTAATTGTTTGTTTGGGGCATGGCTTGGAGATCTGGTGCAAAGCTAGGGGGTGTCTACTTCCTGTCTTGGCATTTCTAATCTATTACAGACAATATTTTTGTAAAATAAAATGAATTACCCTTTAAAGAAGATTTAAGGACCAAAGACATACAAAACATGTTCTAATTTTTCTTTTATTTTTATATTCAGCAATCATAAAATGGTTCTATTGTTTAAAATAACAAGGTGCTGGGGATTTAGCTCCATGGTTTTGCTGCCTGCCTGGCAAGCGCAAGGTCCTGAGTTCAATCCCCTGTACCAAAAAATTTTTTTAAATAAAAGCAAGTTCCTAAGTGGTTGCTCTTCAGTTCTGTACTTAGTAGGAACCAATAACAGAGCACCCATGGACCAGCAATAGCATATTCCCACAATCTGGGAGCCACCATACCAGACAGTCAGCCTCAGGCAGAGCTCATTTCATGTGTATCAGTGTCAGCCAACAGAAATGTGTGTTTGTCCTCTTTGTCTTTTGACCAGAATATAATAATAATCCTTTTTTTTTTTTTTTATACCGGGGATCGAACTCAGGTCCTTGCGCTTGCGAGGCAGGCAGCAGAACCACTGAGCTAAATCCTCGGCCCTGTAATAATAATCTTGTTAAATTTGAAAGGAGAAACAACCCTGAACTTCCAGCCTCAGAATAAATGGCTAAGTGAAGGTTTGCCCACTTGGACACAATAAAACTGGAAAACAGATATAATGTTAAATGAAGGAATCAGAATACACAATGGGGTGTGTGTTGTGAACTTATAAAAATTAACAGTGCAGATAAGACAGGGTCCAAAAAGTAACATAAAAAGTACATGGGTCTATTATGGATTGTCAGAGATTTTTTTTTCCCGGAATTTAAAATGGCCTTTTCCCCTTGCATTTATGCAATAAATAAATATTTTTTGCAAAAGCTGAGGCAGAAATCATAGGTGCCCCCAAAAGTTGGGGCAGAAATGCCAATTGAGGTGAGAAAGAGTTAGTGGTAGAAAGAAGAGAGGCAGCACAGCAGCAGGGAGGAGAAGCAGCCTACAGCTGGGAGAGGCTCTGAGGGCAGCTCCAATTTCCACACTTCCTTATCACCCTCCTCTGTCCTCTGCTCAGTGGGTCATCTCCAGGAGATACTGTGGCCTAGAAGAGAGATGAGTGTGGGATGTGCAGACAGAGGAGCTGGTTTCAGCTCCCATCCCTGTTCCTTTAAGGCGATGCAATCTCAAGCATGCACCTACTCAACAGCCTTAGCTACTAAATGAATTGTAGTGTCTATTTCTCAGAAAGTCAATGCCATGAAATGTAAAACTAATAGGATATACATAATACATTCAGCAACTGTTAATGTAGCTGCTCACAGATCCTGGTAGGGTAATAACTATCCGACCTTGCCTGGAATTCTCAATGCTGAAACTGTGACAGTCCTGGGCAAGTCAGAAGAATTGGTCATGCTAGCTCTGGGCACCTTTGGGCAATCCATCCCTACTCCTAACCCTCATATCTTTGAGGATGCTTGGTAAGAGATTGAAGCCAGGGTATGTGATAAGAAGAAAACAAGTGGAGCCAGAGGAAAGAAATAGAATATATAAAGAATTGAAAAAAATCAGACCCCCCGAATTCAAAGACCCAATTCAAAAATGGCCATCTGAAATGAACAGACATTTCTCAGACAAAGCAGTAAAAGCAACAAATAAATATATGAAAAAATGTTCAACATCACTGGTCATTCTAGAGATGCAGATGCAAACAACATTGAGATTCCACCTCACCCCAGAAAGAATGGCTGCTATCAAGAAATCAGCCAATAACAAATGCTGGCGAGGGGGGTGTGGGGAGAAAGAAACCCTTCTCCATTGCTGGTGGGAGTGTAGACTGGTGCGACCATTGTGGAAATAAGTATGGAGATACCTCAAAGAACTAGGACTAGAGGTCCCAATTGACCTAGCTATTCCCCTGCTGGGTATCTTCCCAAAAGAATTAAAAGAATCATACCACTGTGATATGTGTCCACCCATGTTTATAGCACCACAGTTTGTAATAGCTAAAGCTTGGAAGAAGCCCAAATACCCATCAACTGGAAACTGGATAAAGAGGATGTGGGTTTTTTTATAAAATGGAGTACTACTCAGTAATAAAGAACGAGAAACTAGAGTCATTTATAGCTAAATGGATGCATATTGAGGCCATACTCTTAAGTGAAATAAATAGGACACACATGTGTAAATACCTAATAGTTTCTCTAGTGTGAGAAACTGAAAGTGTAAATAAGGGTTAAAATGATTAAAATGAATAATTGATAATTTGAAATAGGAAAAAAGGTCCAAAGAGGTAGGGGTGAAGGGAGGGGAAGGGGAACGGGAAGAAGGGAAAGGAAAAATTATGAGAAAAGAAAAAAATGGAAATGATGTCTATGTAAATAGGGAAGGGTGGTGGGGGTGAAGGGTGCACAGGTAATGGGGAAAAAAATAAGAATCAAGATACATCAGGTACCGGTCAAACACCCAATGATAAATGTAAACAAATTGTATACCTAAAATGTACCAATAAAAGAATTTAAGAATTAAAAAAAAGAAAGTCATACTAATTTTAAGATTTGAACATTTTATGTGAAAGAATATCAAATGTTATATCTTAAGCGTTTGATGAAAACTTTTATAAATCTGCACATTTGAAAGAAGCATACATACATATTCAGGTCTTTTGAAGTCTCTGTCACTGATTTCTAGAGATGCTTCATGTTTTGAATTAGATGTTTAATTTTTCTCAAAAAAAAAGAAAAGAAAGAAAGAAAGAAAGGGCAATGGAGCTCAGGAATAGAATGGGTTAGTGTGAGGAAGTTGCCTGAAGGTGAGAATTCTGAGTCGGGTAAGGTCAAAGGAGGCAGAGAGAACAAAGCAGGGAGAAGAGGCAGTGATCAGCAGGGAAGTCAATGCAGAGTCCAGCGAGAAGGAGCCAAGGTCCTAGATAAGAGGAAGTGTGGCCTGGTAAAAAGATACTTGAGTTGAGCATTTTAAAGCCTGTCCTTCCCCACAACTTGGCTATTTAAGTCCTTGGGCCTCAGTTTCCTGGCCTGTAAAACAAAGGTAATAATATCAGCTCTACAGGTGACTCTAATAAGCAGTAAGCTCCAAATGGATGAACACTTTTTTCACTCCAAGGAGCGATCGGAGTGGGATGCCTTCCCCTAGCACCTTCACTGAGCCTTCCCTGAAGACTAGAGAGTCTAGACCTCATGAGCCCTCCTCCCTTTATGCTCCAGTGCTTCCCAGGACCCCTCACTTCCAACCCCAATCATGAAAAACAAGCATAATTAACCCCATTTGCCTCCATCTCTACTGTCAGCTAAAAAACTAAAATCTCCTTGATTTAGGGACCAAACATCATGGGTCAAGTGCCCCTTTTCACTATCACAGTGCCTATCAAATTGCTAGGCAGACACTGCCTCACTCAGTTAAAGTGAAGACCAGCACACAGATATCTTGGGGAAAACAAGAACATGGACCCCACCTTGAGTGGCCCTGGAGTTGAATGCCAGCTGTAGCATTTACTAGTTTTTTACTGAAGTAATGACTGAGCTTTTTGAACTCTGCTTGTCTGATGCTTAAAGCACCTGGCACAACATTTGACAGCAAGTATTAAAATTATTTCTGGTCTCAATAGCAATGGTTACAGTATTGAGACTTACAAGTACTATGAGTTTTTAGAAAGAGAAGCACCTGAAGCAGGCATCACAGAAGCAAGAGCCTAGCCCCGGCTGCCCTTGAAGAATGTGTGGCATGCGAGTAGGCAGAGTACTCTGCACTCTTACTGAGTACTTTCAGTGGGCAGTGGATGGTCTCATTACATCTAAATACCAGCATCCTAAGGAAGGTATTCTTATTACTATCTTCTATTTACAGATGGAAGATGCAGGGAACTAGTACTGGTGAAGGACCAGGGGAGCTGCTTGTGCACATGCCTAGAGGGAAGAGTGGACACAGTGAGGAGGCAAAGGGATCCAGCCATAAAGAGGCCACTCTCCTCGAGGGAGGAAGTGGGAAGTAGCAGAGCTGAGGCTCATGGGTCACAGCAGGTACCAGCAAAGTCCTGGAGAAGAATCTGCTCAGCACTCACCCAGGTTTGTGTTCATCCTCATGCTAAATATGAGCATGTATTAAGCTGGGATAAAATAAAAAAGAGAAGCCCTAGACAGCAACGTCTGGAAAAACTACTTGGCTCTTGACTATGACCAGCTGCCAGCATCCAGTCCAACACGCCCATCCATCTCCTGTCAGTTCGACAGCCCTTGGTGGGCTGTTGTCACTCCCAGGAAAGGAAAGGTGGAGAGGAGGGATACCAGCAAACACTAGTAACAAAGCCTTTGGTAGAGGGTGACAGCTATTTCCCACTCCCTTGGAAAAAGAAAAAAAATACTTAAAATAAGCATGCAAGGTTTTACTTGTCCCAAGGAAGATATTTAACTTCAGGTCAGCAGCAGAAGGTGAATAAGGTTACTAGGAAGAATCACTATCCCAAAGGGAACCAACTCCTCAACTGCTAGGTCAGCACAGAGTAATGGTTTCAAAATTGCTGCACATTGCATTCACCTGGGCAGCTTC